GGTTCTGCCTCAAGTGGAGGAGTTCACGTATCTCGGGGTTTTGTTGACAAGTGAGGGAAGAATGGAGTGTGAGATTGACAGACGGAATGGTGCAGCGTCTGTAGTATTGCAGACTCTGTACCGGTCCGTTAAGGTGAAGCGAGAGCTGAGCTGTCAGGCAAACCTCTCTGTTTACCGGTCGGCCTACGTTCCTACCCTCACCTATGGTCACAAGCTCTGGGTAGTGACCAAAAGAATGAGATTGCAAATACAGGCGGTTGGAATGAGTTTCCTCCGCAGGGTAGCTGGACTCTCCCTTAGAGATAAGGTGAAAAGTTTGGTTATCCGGGAGAGACTCAGAGTAGAACTGCTGCTCCTCCACATCGAGAGGAGCCAGTTGAGGTGGTTCGGGCATCTGGTAAAGATGCCCCCTGGATGTCTCCCTAGGGAGATGCTTCAGGCATGTCCGACTGGGAGGAGACCCCGTGGAAGACCCATAACACGCTGGATAGACTATGTCTCGGTTGGCCTGGAAACGCCTTGGAATTTTTCCAGAAGAGCTGGAACAGGTGGCGGTGGAAAGAAATGTCTAGGCTTCCCTGCTCAAGCTGCTGCCCCCGCAACCCGACTTCAGAACAAGTGGAATATAATGGATGGATACGTTGGCGCAGGTTCAGAAGTGAGTAGATCCAAGGAACCCGACAGTTGTTGCCCGTCTCCTGGATGCGTCACTGTGGTGGTTTTTGAAGCTGTGACTCCCGCCTCATTCCACTCTTTCTGGATCTCTGCCAGATTCTGGAATCTTCTCTGTTTGATAATCCGCTGAAGCCCACGGTCATCTCTTTTGCTGGTGCATGTTCTCCTGCCACATTTTGCCCTTCCGTAGACTTTCCATTGATGTGCTTGGACACAGCACTCTGTGAACAGCCAGCCTCCTTAGCTATGAACTTTTGTGGCTTACCCATCCTATGGAGGGTATCAATGATGTCTTCTGGCCAGTTGTTATGTCTGCAGTCTTCCCCATATTGAACCCAACTGAGACAATTGAACCAAACTGAATCAATTTAATGACACCTGGGAAACCTGTGCAGGTGCTTTGAGTTTAGTAGATGATTAGTGTCACACTCAGTTTAAAACATTCATGCCCTGCAAAATTTGGGCTGATTTCTCCACAGTATTCTAATTTTTTGAATTCCTGTTTTTGTGGGATTCATGAGATAGAAACCCAAATTATGTAAAAAATAAACAAATGAATACTTGAAATTGTTTAAATTGTGGGCCCTGAATCCATCATCTATTAAATATTAACTTTTTGAATGGAATTATGGAAGATAAACACCTTTTCCATGATATTCTAATTTTTTGGAAAGGGTCTCTATATACTAAAAATCATTCAACCTTTATTTATACAGGCTAGTCTCATTGAGCCATGAGGACTCATTAACAAGAGGGGCCTGTTCCAGACAGAACATATAAAGTACGTACAACAATAACAGTAAACAATGACAATAATAAACTACAGTAAAAATGCAGTTCAAATAAGAGTAGTGAATAAACAATAAATCAGGGAGCTGTAAAACAGGGTACTTACTACTTGTACTAATATTCCTACTTCACCTTTTTTTCACTTATTGCAGGGCTTCAGTGTACGGATCCCCCACGATAAACAAGAGACTACTGTAATTATAAATTTGTTTTACTGGAATCACCACCTTAACGTGGTGGAGGGGTTTGAGTACCTCTGTCATCCTGGGGTCTATGTTGTCTGAGGCGTTAACCCACTAGTAGGGTCTCCAAAGGCAAACAGGTCTCTGGGGAGGGGTCAGACTGTGAGTGATTCAAAACCTTGATGGACAAACAACAGACCAATCTGTGAACCTCACCCAGAACAAGGAAACAGGACACCTCCTGGAGCCAGGCCTGTGGGAAGGGGGAGCTCGCTAGCAAGCACCTGGTCGTCAAGCCTTAAGCTCCCAGTATACTCCCACGTCCTGTCAATCGCACAGAAACTGCGCGCACTGACCGCAGAGGGTTGAGACTTCATACTCAAGCGTCCACCCTGAGTGGCTGCAGAACAACTCCGCAGACAAGGGGCTTTTATCTTCGGGACAAATTCAGGTCGCCGATTGGTCATTTGCTGACACGCCTACTGGTTTGATTGACAGGTCGAAGAAAAAAAAAAGAGAATTGGCAGCTCCAGCTGTATCGGTGTTCTGTGTTTATATGTTGTTAATAGGGATGGGGCTGATCCGATCCAGTATCGGCCTCCGATACCGGCATAATTTATGTAGCAGATTTTTCCGATCCACGTGCCGATATTTCCAATCCATGATGCAAGTTGGCTTCAAACTATGGAATGGATTTCATGAACGGCGGCGTGTCTCATGAACCCAGAGTAATAAGACCCGCCTCACATTCAGGAAATACATTTCATAGTTTGCAGCCAGCTACAACGTGAGGACTGAGTTAGCAGCACTGTGGCTAACAGCTAACAAACTTTTCATCTAAACATGTTCGCTGTGTGGAAGTATTTTACATTAGAAACGCCACAAAGCAATGCAGCAACGTGCACTGTCTGCAGAGCCATAGCGCCACATTAAACCGCGGTAAAGTTAGTTTTACGTTGGACATTCGAGCTCCGTGGCTTCAGCGGGGCGCTGCTCTTTGCTCAAACCAAAACAGGGGACTCGACCCCGGCCAGCTGCGTCCAATCTGCCCCGCTCAGTCTGCCCGTCTCTGAGGAGGGACAGACTGAGCGCGGCTGCCCCAAATCAGGCTGCCTGCTTCGGATTGAACAAGAAGAAGACATCGCTGAAACCACGGAGCTCTAATATTTACAGAGAAGTTGATAAACTTCATCATAATTAATGTCCAACTCCTATCAGTTTTAGAAAACGAAGGATTTCACAGTTTGATACTTGCAGCCAAGATATAGTTTAACCTCCAGGAGATATTTATCAGTACAACAGTAGACTATCATAAAAAACATGATTTGAAAATTATAATAAAACAAAAACAGCTACATTATAAAGTGATGTAAAACACTAAAAACAGGAACATGTCTGTTGGTTTATGTCATGAACAGCAGGTGTTTGAAGCCATTTAACATTTTATTTAATTTAATTCATTTATTCATTCATTTAAAAGAAACTAAATAAAAAAACATCATAAAAAAGAAAATATTGAATGAAAAGAGTGCAGAAAGAAGAAAAAAAAATCTTATATCTGTCCCTTATTTAAAAAAATATAAAATAACTTTAAACAATCACTTAAATTAATCACTTTAATATCCACTTTAAAACTAGGAATAAAAATAAACATGTTTTGTGTTAGCAGGATTTAATTCTAACTTTAAAACTTATCCAAAATTAATAAAACACCTCAAGTTGTCTTTTTGGACATGCATGCATATATTTGTACAAATTGTACTTGAGAGCAGATTATTACAGCCTCATGTAAAATCAATGATGATCATGATATCAAACTGGATCGGTATTGGCCGATATTCAGATTTAGGTATCGGGATTGGATCGGAAGTAAAAAAATGTGGATCGGTGCCTCCCTAGTTGTTAATAAAAAGTTCTAAAAAACAAAAGAAAAGGCCAGATCAGAGATGAAGAAGGGGAATTTAATACATTGGTGTCGCATACAAAACAGTCCGTTGCCAGGCAGCTTATTGTGCGATGCCTCGTACGTGTACACGGTCGTAAAAATTGAGCTTTGTGCAGACATGCCCTGGTGGACATACACGCGTACCTCCGCGGATGGAGTATACTGGGGGCTTTAGCTCCTGGTTCCTCATGTTTCTGTTCTGTCCTGTTCTTCCTTTGGGCTCAGCCTGGCCGAGATCGAAGGGAGGACAGGACGCCACCGCTATATGAACCCACCACCTACAGGAAGGATCGTTAAAGTCAGGTGCTGTTGATTTTAGGCAGCAGGAGAGGGAGGGTCCCTGGCTATGCAGATTTCTGGTGGCATAAACTAGCTCTATGGTTGTGGAATGTCACTTCACTGGCAGTAAGGAGCTGGACCTTGTGTGTGAGGTTGAGCAATACCAACTAGGTATAATTAAGCTCACCTTTATGCACATGTTAAGCTCTGGAACCCAACTCCTAGAGAGAGGGCTGGACTCTCTCCCACTCCAGAGTTGCCCCGGGAGAGGCGTTGGGTGGGTGTGGGATATGCACAAGCTGAATACCTCGATTTTGGAGTTTTCCTGTACAACATCCTTTTTCTAATAACATTAGAGATGCTTTTGGTCAATCCTCAGAAATACACTATGCACATTCTTTTGTAATAATCAGAAATGGCCCACTCAAAGGATTTGTTATGAATCACTCTCAGCTGCTACCACTTCAAGTTTTATCTCAATGTCTGTAAAACTGACCTAATTAAAGCCATTTTTTGGACTTTCTAATTAAGTTGGTTGTGGTGGTTATCTTTAATTATGTTGACTCAGAAAGTTAATCAACTTATACTTTCTGAATATTTCATTAAAATCCGTCCTGTGGTTCATGAGGTATTTTGATAACAGACAAATAACAATAACAGCCAAAAACATTATTACCAGCTGATCCTGATGCATGCTCAATAATCCAGGTAGAAAAATCTAAAAAAGTTCAATCTGGTCCTCTGGATATTCAAAAAAACAAAACAAAGCAAAAAAAAAAAAAAAACGTAGAAACGTTTCGTCTTTCATCCAGAAGACTTCTTCAGTCTGAGGTGCTGTTTTCAGCTCAGTCTCTTAAATAGCACCTTCTCAGAGTGGATCAACCAGTTTGCTGCTGACAACCAAAACCAGCTGATCACTATGTGAGCAGAGGACCAGATTGAACTTTTTTAGATTATTACCAGCCCCTTGCTGTTCTAATAAAAAATTTAAAAAGCATAATAAGCATAGTGTTGTAGGCTTGGAGCATCATTTTCTTTCCATGTCAGTATATTGACTTCTTGACATATAAGCTGTTAAATGAACACATGCCATTTTTGTAGTGTCCCAGCTTTTCTTTTTGCTTCTACAGCAGGAGTGGATCAATATGACAGGCTTCCTGTGCGCCCTGGGGGGTGTGTGTCTTCAGCAGCGCAACATCCCCGGTCCACCTACCTACAGCCCACCTATGGGCCCTTTGTATGAGCGTAAAGCTTCCGTGGGGCCCAGTGACATGTCCACCACAGTGACCTCTTCCTGCTCTCCATCGGCTACCAGTGAAACACCCGTCAGTCGCTTCCTTGACCGGCTATTGGCTCTGCTTGTGTGTGGTCATGACCGGGTTGGTCCTTCCGTTCGAACCAACGTTAAAGACCTGCTAGGGCTGGAACTCAGCCCAGCGCTCTACCCCATGCTTTTCAACAAACTGAAAAACAGCATTGGCAAGTTCTTTGACACACAGGGACCGGTAAGTTCAGTGTTCACAGACTGTAAACCTCTTGTGCTGCTGTAGCAGCTCTGACTCACTGAAACATGGTGTGAATCCTGGATTATAGCTGCAAATCTGTTTCTGAAATCAAACAGACACTTGGGATTCTGAAGAGCCTTAGTGCTGGGTCATCATCAGTTGATTGTTTTTTTTTTTTTTGTTTGTTTTGATTTGTTATTGAACGAGCATATTTCAGCATGTTTTGATTCAAAAAAAATTTTAAGGAACAACATAAAAAAGGCATCCTGATGCATGCTCAATAATCCAGGTAGAAAAATCAAAAAAAGTTAAATCTGGTCCTCTGGACATTCAAAAAAAACAAAGCAAAACAACAAAAAATGTAGAAACGTTTCGTCTCTCGTCCGAGAGACTTCCTCAGTCTGAGGAGCTGTATTCAGCTCAGTCTCTTAAATAGCACCTTCTCAGAGTGGATCAACCAGTTTTGCTGCTGACAACCAAAACCAGCTGCTCACATGCTCAAGAAGGACCATCAGCCTAACAATGGATCATTAGCACACTGATGGCTGTTTACTATTCACAGAGAGCTGAGTGATACTAGCAATCACAGCATTGTAAGAGGGGGACAGTTGAACCCGGAGGCTCCACCCCTGTTTAATGATGGACGATTTCTTTTCACAAAGATGGCCTCCTTTACTCCTCTCTCAAACCATCGTTCCTCATACTCATAGAATCTAGATTACAGTACGTAACCAACATTTTTGTACTACTAGTGCTTAGTGTATTCTGAGATAACGTTTTTCTTAGTTCATATCTTAGATCGTATTACTGTTTTTCTTTTACACGTTATACTTTTATTGGATGTAACTGGGAACCTGTGTGCACAATTTCGTTCCACCTCATGCACCAAATGTGGTGTGTATGACAATAAAGAACCTTGAATCCTTGAATGCTTCGCCCTTAACCCACTAGCTGTTAAGGCACTAAGGACAGAATGTGTCATGGAACGAGCCGTCCCCAAGGGACGCGGTCGAACGCCTTCTCCAAGTCCACAAAGCACATGTAGACCGGTTGGGCAAACTCCCAAGCACCCTCCAGGACCCTGCTGAGAGTGTAGAGCTGGCCAGTGTTCCACGACCAGGACGAAAACCGCACTGCTCCTCCTGAATCCGAGGTTCGACTATCCGACGGACCTTCCTCTCCAGAACACCCGAATAGACCTTACTAGGGAAGCTTAAGAGCGTGATCCCTTGTAGTTGGAACACACTCTTCGATCCCCCTTTTTGATTAGGGGGACCACCACCCCGGTCTGCCAATCCAGGGGAACTTCCCCTGATGTCCACGCGATATTGCAGAGTCGCGTAAGCCAACACAACCCTACAACATCCAGAGCCTTAAGGAACTTCCTAGCGAATCTCATCCACCCCTGGGGCCCTGCCACCGAGGAACTTTTTAACCACCTCGGTGACCTCAGCTCCAGAGATTGGAGGACCCGACCCAGAGTCCCCAGGCTCCGCTTCCTCAGTGGAAGACGTGCCGGTGGGATTGAGGAGGTCTTCAAAGTACTCTGCCCACCGACCCACGACATCCCGAGTTGAGGTCATCAGCACACCACCCCCACTATAAACAGTGTTGGTGCTGTAACACTTTCCCCCCCCCTGAGACGCCGGGTGGTGGACCAGAATTCCCTCAAAGCCGTGCGGAAGTCATTCTCCATGGCCTC